ATTAATTAACGCATATTTCAAGATGGTTTCTAGTAATTATGTAAGGATACCATTTTTGATAGGAGCAAATCTAATTGGTGATACGCGATACCTTCCGAAATGGACCAGATTTAGGCTGTACTTTTCAATTACACAACGTTATTAAGAGACCAACGCTTTGTAGAAGTCCAATGATGCAGAAAAGCCGGATTTTTACAATTCCAAACCATTCGATAAATGTATGCACCTTAATATGTTCCTTAAACTAACATACCCACTCCCTTTTAGAAATGCCTAGGACGGAAACACTTGTCAGAATGAAAAGGATTTCCGGTTCCTGGTTTATGCGTCGGAGATCGCTCTCTGGTAGTTACCCCAAGGCGGTCTAAAGGAATACTTGTTGAACCCCGAGATCACCGCAATTCGGACACGCCGCCATTCTGGTGAAACCGCAAGATATTTTAATAGGTTTCAAGCCTCTCTTTAGCAGTAAGAGTGGTTAAAGTGACCTCTTTAACATCAAAGGTAGTTAAAGTGAAACAAATGACCTGTCATTCTTATTAAAAATATGCCGCGGAGCACGAAATAAAATGGGGTTCAGAACGAATGAACAGATAACAATACTGCTTTATTATGATTCATATATAGATAAAGGGAAACTATCCATCTCGTAAAAGTGAATTCACTCGCGGCGTAACCACTCGTTAGTCGGGATGGTTAAAAGTCCTTTTATCGTCTTGTACAATAAAAAACTATTTTTACATCGAGGATAATAAGTAAATCACATAATAATTTTTTAAACTGTAAGTACTTTGAACCCCGCGCGCTGAACAACCCATGCTTAGTCCAGACGTCTAGCTATTTAATGAGGTGTAAATCCTTTGTAGGCAATTGAATCAAATTTAAGTAATAGCTGACAATTTCAATTAACTTTACGACGTTCAGCCGGAAAGTGGAAAGTTGTTCTACAAGTCCGTTTTACGTTATGAGACAAATCACGTGATTTTATTACGCTTTTATTGCGTCTGCCAATACATTTTATGAGAGATTGTACGAGCTGCATAGTGTATGTCTATAAAATAAGATAGTGCAAAATACTCCCTCAGTAAGTGCGGGACCCGAAAGATGCATACAATCTCATTTGTGCGTTTGATGTAAAAATGTTGCTACGTCTATAGCAGGAAGAGGTCCCTAGGGTACAGCCCGTTTTATTTTAAGCACGTCCACAGTAGGAAATGCTTTAACAGTCATATATTTCGTATTTAAGTCAGAGATCGAGAAAACATGTGGGTAAAAGCGTAAAGACTATTAATGTTTATTCATTTGCGAATGCGTAACTGGCATTCGGACTCGGAAGGGCACTAACAGGCCCTTGGGTGTTTCGTTCATAAGGATATAAATTATGGGTATAGTTGTCGCCAGATATTGCTAAAACTTTAAAGGATTGCGGTGTGATTTTACTATATCTGAAAATTTAATACATAATGGAAAGAGAAATAGAAACTGGAACTCCACTTGTACCTAATTTTATGAAATAAAGTGGTCCTTCTATCTCTCTTAATTTACAATTAAATTCACGCGAATGACAAGAGGCTAACCCAATTAAATTACACCGTCCCAGACTGATTCAATAGGTTGGATTGAAAAACTAGATACCAATTCAAAATCATTCTTGAAGCGTGTCGATTGTGTAATTTGCGCTCATATTTGAAGGGTGGTTTGACAAAAATGATCATGATGAAGTCATCTTGTGGAAGTTTAAATATTAAGGGTGATAGTTAGCTAAGAATTGCCTGTGTTTTCATTATTTTTTGTTTGTTAATTATGTTACGATATTTTTGGTTGTATTTTACTTCCTTTGTCATCACTAGAAAATATTTAAAAAAATTCTACAAAACTGTAGTGATCTTGAAGATCTAGGCAACATATTTCTACATGACAATGCATAAAACTATACCTATCCTAAGTAATTTTTTAGGTCTCTCACAATAATGAAACTAATGGGTTTTGAAAAAAAAATTGATCTTGGTGTTTCGCCTTCTTCAAAACCCTTTAGTAGTCGGTAAAGGTTTCCAAAAATCTCAACAAATCTACAAAACTTTTTGAGTTTAGGCCCTTTAATAACCTTTAGGGTGGTGGATGTTAATAATTGTTGTTTTTTTTGGTTGGCCCCTTATTGTTTTTGTGATGCCAATTATAACGCCATCGTATGCTAAAACCAGGTTTTCCACCATCAAAGAGCCAATATTACATATGAAATTAAACCAAACCCAGCGTCGTCTAAATCGAAATTTAAGTGCAATCAACGAAGTAAAGTTCTGGATGTACCTTAGGTAGGCTTTTTTGCGTCAGTTGTAGAAAGCGCAATTTATGACCAGATGTTAAGGATGCCTTAATTAACCTAAGGTAATTAACATCTCTTTCTTACTGTTGAATTTATATCCAATAAATTTGTATCATCTGTAAGTACTCTATATTGTTTTTAACCCTAGTTTAATGGCCACTAAAACTTTCAAGTTTACGGGCGTGGGGTGAAACGAACCCCACTCTAACTTGTCGCCAGCTGCACGCCGTGTTTCCATCCATAACCTCAGAAAAAAAACTTATGGACATTGAAAGTGGCTGTGGGGTTCGATCCAGCCCAGACCTGTAAATTAGGGTTAATAAGAGGTTCAAAATTTACAACCCTTTGAATTTTTTTTCGAAATTGGTTTCTAGTCTATAACTTTTGATTACGAAGTCTGATCGAAAAAGTACGAATTGATTTGGATTCTACGCACCCAACTTAAAAAAAAAGTGTTTTCCCGAGAAATTTTGGTGTAGTCGATTTTTGGTAAAAAAAGAAAGGTTATACACTGCCTTTTTTTGAGCCCCGAAAAGAAAATTGTCTCAGATCGACCCGGAAAAAAATTTTTCTTATACAATGTGGCCTGTAGAATCCATAATTTCAAACAGTTCCAAGATTGGGCTACTAGTTCAAAAGTTACAGCCCTTTGAATTTTTTTTTTCGAAATTGGTTTCTAGTCTATAACTTTTGATTGAGAAGTCTGATCGAAAAAGTACGAATTGTTTTGGATTCTACGCACCAAAATTAATAAGAAAAAGTGTTTTCCCGAGAAATTTTGGTGCAGTCGATTTTTGGTAAAAAAGGAAGGTTATACACTGCCTTTTTTTGAGCCCCGAAAAAAAATTGTCTCAGATCGACCCGGAAAAAAATTTTCTTATAGAATGTGGCCTGTAGAATCCATAATTTCAAACAGTTCCAAGATTGGGCTACTAGTTCAAAAGTTACAGCCCTTTGAATTTTTTTCGAAATTGGTTTCTAGTCTATAACTTTTGATTGAGAAGTCTGATCGAAAAAGTACGAATTGATTTGGATTCTACGCACCCAAATTAATAAGAAAAAGTGTTTTCCCGAGAAATTTTGGTGTAGTCGATTTTTGGTAAAAAAGGAAGGTTATACACTGCCTTTTTTTGAGCCCCGAAAAAAAAATTGTCTCAGATCGACCCGGAAAAAAAATTTTCTTATAGAATGTGGCCTGTAGAATCCATAATTTCAAACAGTTCCAAGATTGGGCTACTAGTTCAAAGTTACAGCCCTTTGAATTTTTTTTCGAAATTGGTTTCTAGTCTATAACTTTTGATTGAGAAGTCTGATCGAAAAAGTACGAATTGATTTGGATTCTACGCACCCAAATTATAAAGTCCAAATTACCAACTTCTCATTCTAAATTTTCCTGTTGGTACCCAGGGTTATGGTTAGCATGTAAATAAAAATTTGTAATGTAATTCTTTAGAATTGTGAAGTTGAAGGCTTCTGAGTTTTCTCAGATACATAAAATCAAAGCGCCTTGTCGTGACTTTTCGTAGTAGCGGATGCTGGACACGCCTTGGAAAAATTATAATCATTTCGTATAAATAATTTTTAAAGTCATTGGTTTACTTGAAAAAATATGTGCCCTATATACACTATACAACCTGTTTCACACAATCCTTTTACTTCCGGTTTTACCGGATGGGGATAGCAATTTTCTTATTTTAAATATAACACCCGGTATTTTAGTGCATTACAGATAAGTAAAGAGGAATGCAGGCAAAATGTTACTTATTATTGTTTTTCTTTATTCACGTCGTTCGATACAAAGTTTTCTTGAAGGTAGGTGGCAACAAGTGGTTTTGGGCGAAAGTGTCTGATTGGCAATAACAATAACATCGGGAGTACCCCGGGGATCTGTTTTGAGCCCGCTCTTGTTTTCTGTATATACTTCGGTTTTTAAAAATAGTGTTAACCAAGTGCAATTTCACCAGTATGCCGACGATATTCATCTGCTTCATAATTTTACGACTTCAGAGGTGGTCAGGGCAACGGACCATATAAATTCTGACATCAGAGCTTTAGTTACGATGGCAGAATCACATGGGTTACGTATAAATCCTGAAAAATCATCATTTGTGTTGTTGGGGTAAAAAAAAAAACTATTAAAATCAATGATACGCTACTACCTGACTTGTTCTATTGGTCTTGAGGTGCTCCTGGCAATGGTACTGCTAACAACGTTAAATTATCGTGTTATGAGCCGTCAATTATACTTGAAAATATCCAAAGTCCTTTATACTGAATTTATTAAGGAGTTCGCTAAAGAGGAAACGCAAATACTAAATTAGTTCATTGTACTCAATGAAAATAAGCTCCATTGCAAATAATGAATCCAATAGGTACTATGAGGGTTTTCTAAAGGAAACCACAGAATATGTCCTCGTTTTCATATTTAAAAATCACCCTTTGCTGAATCACTCTCGTACTTCTTCATAAGATATATGTAGGTACCATGTACATTGTACGTGCTTTGTTCGTCTGGTAACAGCTTAATCAACAAAAATTACCTAAGGTAGTGCAATGTTGTTTACTTAATTTTGTTTTTAATTGACAGCCAATTGAAACTTGGAAAAATAGCCCACCTATCATTTAATCTAATCTCCCACACGTGGTATCTTTTTTGATATTATGGTAAAACAGTCTCAGTTGTTACTAGTGACAATGTGGAAAATAAATGGACAGCTCCTGCAATTAGTTGCTGTTTTAACAGGTATGTACTTACGGATTTTGGGTTTGTGTTTGTGGCGTCCTAATGAGTCGTAGTAAAGACGAATGAGCGCTTTTCATCCATTTATTGGAAGATTGGGATTGTTTCTCATTCTTACTTGTTCAGGGTTAGCAATCCGCTCAATTACGCGAAATCCTGTCCTCACTATGGAATATAATATATAATATAAACTTGAAAAAAACTCCATTATTAAACCTGAAGTTTTTATCAAGCAAATTATATTTCAGAAGCAAATTGTAGTAACTAACACGAGCTTCCTGCAGTTGGTTTGAGGAAAGAGGTAACTAAATTATTGAGTACATCAAAATAGAACATCTTCCAGGACAGTGACACTTTCTTCCGCTGGAACATTTTGAAATGTTTTTAAAACAAAAGCTCGGAAACAGTAAAAATCCATGCCATGGTGTGCCGTAATTAGGATTCGGACAAGTACAAATCGAAGATGGACTAAAGAAAGTTTTTATTTTACATAAAGTATCTCTTGCACTTTATTAATGCTAGGGTCGTGTATACTTTCAAGAACCAGAATATTTACAAATAAATAAATTTTTTGACGTAGCTCCTTTTAGACCCCAAGTTTATTGGAGAACAATGCCCCTTTACCATAAATTTTTTATACGCTTAATTGTTAAATCGCCTAGGTTAAATTTACGTTTGTACTCCTAGGCTCTATCGACAACGCTAATGCGTTCAGTTATTTTTAGAAGCAGGAGACTCGTACATTTCATTCAAAACTGCATCTGTCATTTGTATGGAGCGCCTTGCACTTCATTAGTTCGTGGTGTCCATGAAGGATAAGATTAGATTAAATACATTTTGGGACGCAGATAAAACCGTTGTATGCTATCTTGGGGACATTCCTGCAATATTAAAAGCAGTCATCCTGAAAACCTAACGCAATCGGTTAACTCCACCCCCCTATGCTCTATTGGTGCAGAGAAAAGAAACGAAAAACGGAGATTTTAGGACATCACTGTTGACGAAGCTCCTAAACTAAACATTTTAGCCCTTTTTTTGGGAAACAATGGTAATTTTTGGTTTCCTCTACCATCAATTTTTTGCACCCTGTAGATTAAATTTACGTTTGTATTCTTAGGCTTCATCGACAATGCTATTCTGTTACTTTAGAAGCACGAGGACCATACGTTTCAGTCATTACTCATGGAGCCCTTCTTTTTCGTGGTGCCCATATTTTTATGGGCAGTAGGTACTACATTAATATTCAGATGTAGCGTTTTATAAGAATAGGACGCTGCATCTAGCTAGTAAAGAGACATTTTGCCGGAAAGTGCAAAAGGCATGACTCAATTTGTTTTTGAACTACGTAGTTATTTTCGTGTTTGTCCCTTACGCTTCCGTTAAACGTATCTGATTGCTGTAAATATACCTTTGTTTAACTGATTAGATCGACTCCTTGAAGATATTTTAAGACGCAGATAAAGTTATAGCATTCTCTTATTGTAACGATATGATTAATAATCTCTATGTTTAGATACCGAAACATGTGTATTAAGTTATCTATTTTTAGTAGCCACTCACCTTTTTTGCTCATTACTCTGCAATTCAAAAGGTGCGTTCTACCGCACGTTTTGAATTAGACCATTGAATAATATTATTCAATGATTAGACACAATATCTAGTATAATCTAAAGGTATGTAAGATTATTGTTGACGTTTACTAATTTTTTTAACTTTTATTTTCGTTGATTTCGCACTTTACTGGATTAATTATTGTATCGCCCAATGAACCAACCCACACTTTATGGCTAAAATGCATTTCTTGAAATTGATGAGGATTTTGAATTGACCAGTAATGTGGCGATTACACATTGCTGATGCATTGGTAAATTTACACTTATCGGACCATATGAAGTTTTTAAGGAAATTTGGGTTTTCCCTCGGGATTTCATTAATCTGATTAAGAAACGTGCAAAAAGCTACCCGTCGTTCACGATTTCCTGGACGAAGCGTTTGAGAAATATTAGAAAGAGATCCCCATCCGTAGTAGCACTCAAAAAATGGACACTCTGTATAAAAACATTTTTGCGTTTTTCACCGTGATTCGCGTTTTCTTTCTGAAAAAGATTGATTTACAATGTGAGACGTGCTATCACAGCTACACTGGTGATACGAGGAGATATTCCTGTGCAATTTCCGAGAAGATATAAAGGAAAATAAATTCTTTTTAGGCCAGTCATTTTAAACATCTAAGGTCGCAAAAAATCCGGTAATTCTGAATATTTGGCAGGTTGTTAGGGTCGATAAGACTAGTGTGAATCTAAGTTTGCAGCTTCGAAAGACCTGTGCTAACTTCAGGGTGTTCGAAAACTCTCCAATTTTCGGTTTTTCGCTTATAACTTTGAAACGGTACATCCTAGCGTTGTAGTTTGGAATAACACTTTTAGAGTAGACAAAATTTGCTACAATTTCAGTCCAACCGGAGCTCTGTAGGTCTAATAGATCCCAAGTTACGCTTATTCAAATGTTGGTCATTTTTTTCAAAAAGTGCAAATTTTAAGTTTTGGCCATCTTGCGTGCAAAATACCGGCTCAAGGAGTCATCCTACGAAGAAGTCATGAGAAAAGGAGTTGTAGTACATTTAATTAGATTCATTTTAAGCGCAGAAAGAGGCCTGTAGCTTCCATAGTTCACCAGTTATCTTGAAAAAACGAAAATAAGGGAAAATAGAATTTTAAACTTTGGGAGCCCTACGATCTGCCTGTTCATTCAGAAGATATTCAATACACAGGAGATAAAATTTGACATTTTCCCAACCAAATTTTATTATTATAGAAATTATTCGTAAATACAAAAAGGAAAAGGCGAGAGAAGGGGACTACATTCTGTGCCTCGTGCTAGGTCCAGGTTGTGGCTCACGCTCAGGTGCAATTGAGGGCTCCTGGGGTGAGGATTGGGACATATATCCGGCTTCTGCATTGGCGACATCTTCCTCCTCCTCCGAGGCATCTATCATAACGACTGGGGCGTTCTGACAGCTTGAACCTTGGCATGCCTTGCAGAGAGCAGAGCATTTGAGCCCTGCTTTTATACAACAACACGCTCTCCCTCTACAGCCTTTCCGGCACCTGCAGGATAAGAACCGAAGAAGAGAAGTGGATGCAGGAGGATTCGTGGAAGCTACAGGAAGTAGCCCTTGATGATCTCTGGTCCAGCCCCAGACGGTTGGGTCTTTGTCTGCTCCCAACCACGTCTGGACCTGATGGTACGTGCGGTACGCGTGATGAGCAGCTGCGTCTTCAGTGGGTGGCAAACGAGCAAGGTTGACCTTCGCGTTCGCAGCTGTGCGAACGAAGGTTTTGTAGCGGAGGGTGTGAAGGTCATCGCTGGCTCCTCCCCCATATATCGCGATCAGGCACTTGGCACCAGCTGTGGCTACTTCAATGTGGGTGGCTTGTGGGTTCAGGAAGGTACTGGCCACTGAAATGAGGTGAGAATTTTTCTCGAATGTGCCGAGTAGCTTTGTCTTGCCCTGCCAAAAAATGGCAGAGGTTGTATCACAACCAGTTAAGGCATGTATGACCAGTACCAATCCGGGAGGCAAAGGCAGACCGCCACGATTGAATGATGTTGAACAAAACTGCTGGCAGCCATAGTCACCCTGCCACTTTTTTGAAAGAAAACTTTGTTAACAGTGGAACCCAAGGCATTCAAAAGAACGAGAAGATCCACATCTTCCCCAACTATGATGACGTTGTCATATGAACTGCTCTTTTGCAATGCTGTGCGTACTATGGTACAATCGACGTCTTCCACAGCGCGCTTGATTGATGTTTTGTACATGATACTGTGTCAATAGGATAGGTGACTAAAATGTTTGTTTTGTATTTAGGAATAATTTCTATAATAATAAAATTTGGTTGAGAAAATGTCATATTTCATCTCCTGTGTATCTTCTAAATGAACAGGCAGATCGTAGGGCTCCCAACGTTTAAAATTCTATTTTCCCTTATTTTCGTTTTTTCAAGATAACTGGTGAACTATGGAAGCTACGGGCCTCTTTCTGCGCTTAAAATGAGTCTAATTAAATGTACTACAACTCCTTTTCTCATGACTTCTTCGTAAGATGACTTCTTTAGCCGGTATTTTGCACGGTAGAGCTCCGGTTGGACTGAAATTGTAGCAAATTTTGTCTACTTTAAAAGTGTTATTCTAAACTATAACGCTAGGATGTACCGTATCAAAGTTATAAGCGAAAAACCGCGAGAAGTCCGAAAATTTCGGGAGTTTTCGACCACCCTGAAGTTAGCACAAGTCTTTCGAAGCTGCAAACTTAGATTCACACTAGTCTTATCGACCCTGACAACCTGACAAATATTCAGAATTACCGCATTTTTTGCGATGTTTGCCTTTCTTATTGTCTAAGATGACTGGCCTATTTGGTAACTTCTCAAAATAGCCACTAACAGTTACCTTCGGATCATTATCAGAGGCAATTATTTGGCCTGGTAATAAACTCTGGGGCTCCGACGTGGTAATTCAACTACAGTTGGCAACTGGAAAAAATTACAAGCAGACAGATCCTACTCTTATGTCAGAAGGACAGATATACATGATGAATCAAGTGAGAAATTACACTAAAGAAATTGAGTGTTGAATTTCGTACACGTTTTTCAAAATATGTTACTTAACGTATAAATGAGTACCAAATTAAGCCATAATTATGGATTAGAATTAGAAGTGGCACTAACTAGAACTAGAAAATGCACTAATACGACGAACTTTCCCGAGAAGGACGCACACAAACGGGTTAGCATTTTGGAAAGAAATAGAATTACTCAGTACAATTAATAAATAACCACAAAAAAATACGCAGTTTACTTTGGCAACTTAAGTTTTTCACAATTTTCACGTTACAAATCAACTGCAGTAGTCGACGGATCGGTGCGGTAGTCTTGGAGGAACGGTACGGATAATTTTCCTAAGCGAAAACGGAAACACAACTCATTAACGGTATCGACTGGGAAACGAAAAGCAGGAAAGCAAATCAAAAGAGCCTCTATAATATACTGTGTTAATTTTTCAACCCCCTTGTTACTTTTTATTTTCGTGAAAATTGCAAAGCCTGGCGCTGTTATTTTATTCAACGTTAACGTTTTCTAGTTATTTACTCCATTTTGTGAACTAATACTCTGTATAAAGCAAAATTGTGGAATGAAAATAACTTCCTTTCCTTATAAAAGTTTGTTGCCTGTTTATAAATCAGATCAAAATTACAAATGACAGATGAAATGTCAGCATACTAAAAATTTAAAATTAAAGCAAACGGAATTTTAAAAAATCATTTTTTGTAACTACTTTAGAAACAACTACTTTCGTCGCTAAAAAAGGTGAAGAAAAAGCGATTTTGCTCTCTACCGAGGAAAGTAAAAAACAATTGCTACGATAATCTTAATAATCACCTTTAAAATTTGTTATATTTTGATTGTAGTTTCAGAAAAAAATATATGTAAAACTTCCCTTTCTTCTCTAGTTGCACAAACAACTATTTTGCTAGGTTTCTCATTACTTCTGGATATTAAACTGGAATTATTTCAATACTTTATCAGCTTTACTATAAAACTGGGTTGAATAATTTCCTGAAGTCAACAGTTAACAGAGGGTTGAAAGAATAGCATGGCTAGTCTTTAATAAAAAAAGTCACTGTATAATATAATATAAGAATTCAACGTATAAATGTAGACGATGCTGCTAAAAGATGCAAAAAGATCCCCTCTAAACGACGGCCTCATGTTTATAGAATTCGGAAATTATACTCACTTAATTTGCCGGATTAAAATACCAAAATTTGGTAGCTCAGTTAGCACCCATTGTTACTTAAACTTTTGAACCAGGCAGAGGTATGTGCTTTCTAAGTGCAAACGGTTTTACCTCGTTTCGAATTACCATTGCGAAATTAAAATCGCTCAATAACGAATTAGCGGAGCTGAAATCATACAATACTAATTTTATTTCCTCTTTCAATTGAGGAGAGCTGTCGGATGTTGCAAACATAACTTAAATATCTCTATGGGAAAGGCTACCAATGGCAAATTGTTACAATACCCTGATTTCCTTATCGGCTGCTGAAACACGACGCTAAATTAATCAACCCTGTAACGGACGGTTAACAACTAAGGGCGGTTCCTCTTCGTTTTCTCTTTGATATAGTACTCTGGGACTTAACTGTTGTGTACTTTTACTTCCAAATAAAAAATAAATAAAATACTTTAATATCTCTGGACATGGAACCGTCATAGAGTGGTGTACTTTTGGAATCTAAAACTTTTTACATCGTTTGTAAAGAGTAATAATTGTAACTATATTCAAGAGGTCACTTTCTACGTTACTTCAGTTATAACACATTTATTATAATTAAAACACAATTATTAAAATGAAAGCAAATAATTACAGTCTTTCCTTGAAACTAAAATTCTACTCCCGAATTTATCTCAAAATACATCAAATATAAATTAATTTATTAAAACAGTATGGTAATTCTATCTAACGAACAAAGTGACCTGTGACATTGCTAAATTATAATGACTCCTGTCATCACTGATAGATTGATATTATTCAAAAGTTCGATACAAAAATTTAAATTTTGTATTAAACTACGATTTCGGGTAAAATTTATTACAAAACTCGTCACTCGGAAATTAAAGTACTTAGCCCCAAAGGGGCCTCGTACTTCAATATTTCCTCGCCATTAATGTGTCATTTTTCTGACTTATGTAAATAACTATTCCTCCTTATGTAAACGATAATTTTAGTAAATATTCGGCCAGAGATATACATTTCTAACTACTACATTTGTTTCAGCAACATTATGCGCAATTTCCGATGGGATGCAATATGCTTGGACGGCGCCGATGATTCCCATTCTTCAGAATCCCGAATCTGCTTTCTCAGTAACACATACAGATATCATTTGGCTTGAAACCATCTACATGATAGGAGGACTTGCTGGAATACCATTCATAATTTACGGCGTTAACAGATTCGGGCCTAAAATTACGATTTTAATCGGAACCGTATTGAGCATCATATCCTGGATAATGAAAGCATTCGCGCCTTCTACGGTATACTTCTACGTGGCGAGATTCATCAGCGGATTTGCGGCCAACGCTGATTTCGTAGCGGCACCCATGTACATTAGTGAAATAGCTGACAAGAATGTGCGTGGATTTTTGGGATCGTCGATCTATCTAATGATGTTGTTGGGAATTGTGATAATATATTCGGTGGGACCGTATGTTTCGATTCTCGTGTCATCGGCGGTTGGCTGCTCATTTCTGGTTGTAGAGCTTCTCATTTTTCCCTTCATGCCTGAATCACCATACTATCTTATTTCTAAAGGAAAAGTAGAAGAGGCCAAAAGATCACTGCGGTTGTTACGTCCGACATCGGACAGTATCGACCAAGAATTGGAAGGAATACAATCTAATGTGAGAGCGCGCCAGGAGGACACGAAAAAGCGACATTTTACGGATTTGATCACCATGAAAGCGAGTAGAAAGGCGCTGACTATAGTGACAACGCTAAATTTCGCACAACACTTTAGTAGTTACAGCGTCATTCTGATGAATCTTCATATGATATTGGATTATGCGGAATCATCATGGGGTTCGAATGAGTCTGCAATAACATTTTCGGCGGGTATGTTGGGAGCCGCTCTTTTCTCATCGTTCCTAGTTGACAGAGCCGGAAGACGAATTCTGCTTTGCGGGTCAAGTACTTTGGCTGGCCTTTCCATTGTAACTGTAGCAACGTTCTTCGCCGTAAAGCACGCAGGAATCGACATCACCGATTATAGTTGGGTCCCCTCTGCATCAACATTGTGTTACGCAGTGTTTTTTAAATGCGGATTGGGGTTAATCCCAATAGTATTGACTGCCGAACTCTTTCCATCAGATGTGAAAGCCATGGGCATGGCGCTAGCTTCAGCAATGTACAGTGTATCTTCCGCTGCATCTACGTACCTTTTTCACTATTTATATGAAGCATATGGAATGCATGTGCCGTTTTACGTTTTTGGAGTTTGCTGCTTTCTAACTACACTTTTTGCTTACTTCTATATACCAGAGACCAAAGGTAAAACTTTAGCCGAAATTCAAGTTATACTTAATAGCAGTACAACGACCAAACAGACTAAGTCTGATATACAAATTGTGTTATCCAAATGATCTTGATCACCACTTCCAAATCCTAGAACAATGACGTAACTTATTTAAAGGTCGGCTGGTTTTTAATCCATTTCATATGTAAATAAGAAATAGAATAGGGCCCAGTATCGATCCCTTAGGAACTCCTGTTTTTACAGAGGTATCATAGGCGAATCGATAATATTATATCTGACATATTGATGTCGATTATTTAAGTACGATTTGTAATTTGTAATACTTTAGCTTACGTACGTAGGAAACGACATCAAATGCTTTTGTAAGATCTAAAAACGTTGAAGAGTATTTTGTATCATAGTTTTTTATGAATTAAATAAAAAATAAAAAATGATTTTAGACGTTATGTTAATAATGACTGAAAGATAGTGCTGATGGAATTGACTAAATAAAAAAAAATTCTTCTTCAGAATTACCTCAAATATTTTAGGAAATATGCGTCTAGGTATGATGGGTCGATAATTACATGTTGAGCTGCTATTCAGTTTCTTAAAAAGGGGAATGGCATTCGTTGATTAAATTGGTTAATGGATAAATTCCAAAATCAGACCATAAGTTTCTTTACACTTGGAATTATTTGAAACTCTAACTGCATCTGTGATCTCAACATGTGACACCAACGCACAAAAATTACGTTCACACAGGAGATAAGTAAGATAATGTATTTTTCGCAATTCGTTTATTAGTTATGTGGTGTTTTTATAAAGCCCTCAGTAAATAATTCAGCATTAATACCTATATGAAGTTTCAGAGTCATTGGTATTGCAATTACAGTTTTTTATTAATTTCCATGCAGATTTTAAAGTGGAGTGGAGTACTTGTTTCAAAGAATTTTGTTACCGTTTCCTACTACATTTCAAATACTAGATTTAATTGCAAACCTAAGTGGTCTGAGAAGTGTGTATTTAAAATTAGAAAATAAATTAAACGTTGCCAAATTGTCACATAATTTACCACGAATGGAATTGACATTGAAATCACCACGAACTGATACGTAGGTACCTATCATAGTTAGTCGATGCTCTATCCAATATATTCAAAAATGTACTTCATTTCCCCATAGGTGATGTATAAATAGATAATATTGTTAAATTATTTGAGGGTAAAATATACCACATATTTCTCAATGTATCTCTTTAGATAACTAGGCTGTATTTTAATTATGAATCTGTATATTTTTTATCTCAAGTTCTTTGAGACAACGTTCACACGGACAAATCACGTCGAAGTCTCTATCTATTAGAAACACATCTAATCACAAATCTTTAGGTAGGAATATTCGTACTAAATACTATGCACTATAAAATAATAGAATAAATAATATAATTCGCGTTTATGTATGGACTAGAATGCGCAGTAGAATTTGTAGTAATTTTAAGGACATAATGATATCTATATATTATTTGTAGTTCAGTTTGTTATCTCTGATTAAGGAAATAAAAACACTAACATTATTGTTATGGTTACAATTATTTATTATTAATCTTTTTTAAAAGTTGCAATCAGGGCGTTAGTAACCACCATCACCCCCGATGAGATCTCAGATTCAGTCCCACTTACGCCACCAAGATTCAGAGTAAGAGAAAGGAACACAAAAACACCTTCCTCGTTACTCTGAATAACCTGCTGAATGCATCCAAGATCTATAACATCTCGGAAATGTCGGTATAAGCTTACCGCGCCAGTCGTCACGTGCCTCAGTATTTCTCGTGCCAAAGCGTCAACTGCGGTTTTGCACCCCACTTGTGCAAACTGCTATCGGACAAGATATCTCTCGACATCCACAACTACATCATTTACAGGCGAGACAGACCGACAGAAACCCAACTTCAACTGGAGCCACCGCCCTGATAGTTGATCGCCGATTAACTTACTTCCAATTCCCTTGAAGGCACCGGAAATGAAACAAAATTGGGGGACGCCATGGTTATTAAGTATATTCTATACAGCAAGACAATAGGTGGCGCTGGGCGAAGATGAAGTAAGTTAGAAGTTAAGTCGACGACAATATATTACTTGCAGACCACACCATCCTTGCATGAAACCTAAACGCCAAACACTCCAGCCGCGGCAACCAGGCAAATCCCGGCCAATAAGGTGAACCAGCTCCCCCACTATCTCAAGGACGAAAACACAGAGATAAGGAGACTCAAACCCTTCGCGAGAACTGCACAATCGACAAGTCGACAGTTCACCAAGACGTGTAGAAACTCTCGCGCCGTCAACGCACGAACCATATCGCCCGCGTATCCAGTACCGCACATCGGGGCCCTTTCGTAAGAGTTAATAGGAAAAATGCGCTTTTTCTAACATAAACCTCGTGACGAAATATTACCAGATTCCTGTGGCAGAGGTAGACACTCCGGAAACAGCCATCACGACACAGAGTTTCCATAGATTCATGGACAGTCGCATCGAGGAACATCTATGGAAGCGATCCCGGAGACTAAGGGAAACTGGAATTGTAATCATCGTCGAGAAGTATCAGTTTGGTAAGAAAGAAAATTGAAATTATAGTGGATATTGTGAATAGTATTTAATTTTAAAAGCGCTTAAACCAAAACTTTATACAAAATGACCTGGAACTTCCGCATGTAAATTTAAAAATAACGAGCAGCGTCACGGTATCTGATGCTGTACGAGACGTTAGTCAAAACCTAGACCCCACAACTGAAATATTCCCACGTACGTGACTTGTAGTAGATCTGAGGCGAGGTCTTTGTGAGAATACGTCTCACGATTTTGTCAAAAACTGAATTGAAGTATTATCCTTTGATCGGAAAATGTGATAAAGGTAGACAGATGCCGTGGCGGAGTTTTTCTCGTGGAAAATTTAGCTTAGATCGTGATTTCCGTAAAAAACACCATAAGACTCCACTAGTGGAAGTGCGATAGAATTATGCTTTACTAGCGTTAGAATGGTATTACACTCAACATTTGGAGGCAATGTAATTTTATGTTATGCGTCACTGTCTGTTTTTGTTGGCTTACTACTCCGCTAGGGCTGAGTGAAGAATTTTGTTTGCATCAGTTGCTTGCCTATTGTTGCTAGTTTTCCCATAAATATCCTTACTATGTTTATGTACGATTCAGAAAATATGTCACTTCACCACTGTCGTACCGAAATAAACCATTGGTTCGTAAAAAATTAAACTGTGTAGACTTATATGAGGCTTGATGTATTATAATTGCGCACATTCTCGTCACCCCCTCAAGCGAATTAGGGTATGTTTGTTGACTGGAAAATAAAATAGATATCCTTCTTTCCTTGTAAATACATGTCATGCGAAGCGACAAGGCACACGTTCCTTTCCTTTGTCGATATCGAAGACAATTACTCAAGCTGACGTGAAGTCAATGTATCGTGTAATTTAAAAAGTGTGGTGGATAAAATCTTGTTTAAGAATCGGGGATGTTTACAAGTTTTTGTCTAATATAATCGGTACATCTGTAAAAACGTACGGTACCGTTCAAGTTTATGGTTTTGTAATGTATTTTTGCCGAAGTTTACGTAATTTTTAGCTTTTGTTAAATATGATCAATACAATCCAGAGGGTTCACCATTTAGAATGCTGTAGGCTTCAGCGTTTACAGTGGGGATTATTTAATTTATAGAACAATTCATAAAACGGCGATTTTCCTACTGCAAGCTCATCAACGCCTAAAATGTACCAATGTATTTATTTTACCATTTGCAGCGAACCTCGAGAAGGAAAATGAAATTAACCACAGCTAACAAGGGGAAATGAGTCTTCCAGTGAAACAGCCACAGAGGTTTGACAAAGCACATTTAATTTTGGGCCTTTGCCAGAAAGCAAATAAAATATAAATTAAAAATAAAATAATAAAGGTTTGTGAATCCTCAGCCACTGGAGGGTATAATAATTCTGGTCTTGAAAAGACTTATGCTTTCGCAACATATGTATTCAGGAAATCAATTGCAGAGGAATTCGTCACGGCAATGTCAAAGATAAACGCCAAAAATAAACTAACGACAAAAGCAATTATTTGTGTAACGATTCTTTGGACTTATATTAGATTTAATGTATTAGATCAGTTCCAGCTAATTGACAAGTAGCAATCTTCGATTCGAAAGCGAGTGTTGGCATTTAATCCAGAACACTTTAATAAGGCCACTCCAATGCTCCTAACGTACACAAAAAATATAAGCAAGATAGAAAGAATCGCATACGATTTTCAGTAGGGGTATTTTTTACCACTCACCTCGCATTAGGAAACCAGACTTTTAATCCCGCTCGTATTCAATAGCACTGATCCTTGACCTAGAAGAAATCGACTGGTGAAAGTTTGACATCTCTATCTCTTTTCGTTCTCGAGTTGGGCGAGGAACAGGCGGAAAGACAGCCGGACAAAATCGTCACATAAGGGGAATTTTTTTCTTTTAAAGAATTCCCCTAAAAACTACACCAATACCAGACCAAAATCCAATTAATTCAAAGTTACGTACCACGCTAATAGATGGGTTTCGGATTTCGATATAACAAGAAGAAAGATATTAAAATAAACGTGTTAACTAAATTTTAGCTTGGCTGACACTGAAATTTCCCATTTCAGACCCATCTTTCGAAAAATTAGAACCTGTCATTTCAATGACAAAAGCAAAAGTGATATTTCCCAATCCCAATGATATCAACTACTCCTAACACACTAAAATTGCATTCAGTCCGTTAGTTAAACTAGTATAGTATAGTATTAGTATAATTGATGAAACAACGGAACACAGTTAGGCAAGGGTTTTTTTTATATCAAATGGGACAAGAGAATTTTAAAATGAATAACATACACTGAACCACATATATACTAGGAACGTTCTGCAGCTTTTCACAGGAACACGTTTCCCTAGTTACTGCAACTCGTCTGCGAACCTTAAGTTAGGTTTCGTTTTGAGTGCCAATCAAATCCAATACTGATGCAGTTTGTGTGCCGTTTAGATATGCGAGGCCACTCTGATAAAGCTTCATGATATGCAAAAATACGCTATTCTGGTGCAAATAATATAGAAAAGAGTTCAGAATACATCATAAATAATATGACATGAAAGATTCACATTCGCAAGTGGGCACAGTATTCATTTATGCAGAGAAAGAGCTTTTATACTTTCTCAATCCAAATGTAGTCGCAATCTATTGCGGAAAAAGTAGGTTAACAAAAACTACGACTAACAGCTTGTTATTTTTAATTTGACTGTTTTCACTGACTACCACCATAGAAGACTCCAATCAATGGAAAGCAACTTAAATTGAAAGGCAAAATAAATGAGTGCTTTAAATTACATACGTCAATTCGGGGTCGACCTTTCGTTTTGAAAGGGCTGAAAAGATACAAAACCGGAAATCCCAGAATACCTTTATTTTCTATTACTACGGCTGCATAGAAGATAGGTCAACGCTCTTTTCGTCAATAAATAGAAAAATGCTAACTGAATATATACCACAATATTGAAACTACTTATCGAGATTAAGGGAGAGAAGGCATTGCCAATTTCCTGAAAGTTTGTTGTATAAATCTTGTGCAGTAGACCAATAACTTTTCACGAGAGCCAATCTGATTTAACAAGCAGCCTAAATCTAAAGAATAAATGGTAATATCAATAAAGGTTAGGAAAAAAGTGGTTAGCTTTTTCTACACTCTGATATAGTATTTCAGTACTAACTTATGTCGGCTTCTCTCACTTTTTGTCGACGCTTTACAGACGGCGTTGTAAGGCGTCGAGGAATACGTTTGGAAATCGTTGACCTGCTGCTTAATGGTGTGTCTTCAAATTATTCATTTTAATAAGGAAGATAGTTAATGACTTGAAAAGTCGTTAAATGGAATTTCCACACGAGACTGCTTTCCCAAACTGCAAGTAGCTGGGACCGGGATAAATGTTGAAATCGTTTTTTTTGTTCAGCCCTATACAAAATGAACAAGTAAATTGTGCATACCTCCTGTCACATTTTTTTAAACTGAAATAGCTTAGTAAATAATTAATTGGGTTATAAGGTAGTAGAATAATAATAAAAGCCGCCCGGGATACATTCGTAATGAACGCTGTATTATAATGAAAGCCATTAACCTTCTTCCGATACTATGTTTTCGAGATATTGTGACATATCTAGACTTCTAACCACCTTTTGAGAGTACCCTCCTCCGTTCTGCAGATATTGGAAGTTTTTACATCACCAGTAGATATGTGTCGTCCAGACGTTCTACTTGTCCTTTATGATTACCCTTTTCTGAAACCGTTTTCGAGAAATTCTTTTCGATCTAACCAATAGTTAGAGGCCGCATAAAAAATAAATGCAATTTCCCACGTTGGACAAGCAAATAAAACTACTGTGTGCTATGGCCCGGCCAAAATGAACCATACA